TGAGGATTACAATTGAGATGAAAAAAAAAAAGTACAAAATGATGTAAAAATAAACTATTATATTAGCAGAAAAATAAAAAAAAATAAAAACCTGTGCATCTGAAGACATTATCAAAAAGATGAAAGACAATTTATAAAATAAGAAAAAATACTTGCATAATGAGTTAATATACAGGGTATCTAAAGAATTCCTCAATTCAGCAACAAAAACACAAACCCAAGTAAAAAAAAATAGGGAAGCAGGGTCCCCTCATGTACAGGTGTTAAGTCTCAGCACTATCAAGCTATTGCCAGTCATTGCAGCATGAGTTTGATCCCCAGTCAGGGACCTAATCCTCAGATAGCAGACCTCTCCTTTCTTGCCTGCTGCTCCCTTAGCAGTGTATTTCCATCAAATCTGCCTGTTCTACTCCCCACTCTGTCTCTGGTGAATCATCTCACCTCCCCTGAGCCCCCACACCTCTGTCCTATACCCCAGCTCCTGTATGCATGCATAAATAAATCAATCTTTAACAAGAAAGATAAAGAAATGGTGCTGGGACCACATCACCTATAAATTCCATTCCTTGGTATGAAATGAAAGATATACCTTGACACAGAGAAATGAAACATCCACAAATAAACATACACAAATGTTTATAACATTATTCATAATAACTGAAATGTGGAAACAACCCAAATGTCCATCGACAGGTGATGGATAAACTGGTGTGCACATACAATGTGGTATTACTCAGTCAAAAAAAGGACATATGTTGATTTGTGCCACGACTTGGATATATCTTGAAAAGTAATGCTAAGTGAAGCCATTAAAAGTGATAGTTCGTATGATTTCCTTCATATAATATATCCAGAGTAGGCAAACCAATAGGACAGAAAGCTGATTCATAGTTACACAGAGAAGGAGAGTGAGGAACAGGAAATGATTACTTTGTGAATATAGCACATTTGTGGAGGGTGATGAAAAAGTTTTGAAACTAGAAAGAAGGGATGGTTGCACAACATTGGAAATAAATATCACTAAGCTATACACTAAAAAATGGTTAAGTGTGTAATGTGAATTTCACCCTAATTTTTAAAAATGTGCAAAAGGAGAAAGTAAAACTTAAATAAATATTTACAAACCATAGTGAGGGTACCATAAATGGGGTAATGGAGTCCTAATTGGCAGCTGGCTCTGACTGCACAGCAGTGGACTCAGAGAGGAGGTCATGCTGGAGATAGAGTTTTGGAGGATAAATATGAATTTATGATATTGCAAGCATAGGAAGTGAGAGAAAAGGGGTTCTTTAAAGAAAAAGGGTGGTCGGCCCTCCCTGGTGGCACAGCGGGTTAAAGCACAGCACTAGGAAGCTAAAGTCACTTCCGCATGAGTTCGATTCCTGCCTGCCCCGGAGGTGGCCCACATGGCGTGGCAGACCTCTCCTGACCTGCCCGCTGCTCCCCTCATCAGTATACTTCATCGATCTGCCTGTTCTGCTCCCCTCTCTGTCTCTGGTGAATCCTCTTGCCGCCCCTGAGCCTTTGGCCTGTACCCCAGCTCTGTATACACAAATAGTAACTACGAACTTAAAAAAAGAAAGAAAGAAAGAAAAAGGGTGGTTGGCAAATACAGAAAAGGTGTAAATCAGTAAAAAAGGGAAATAAAACCAGCCTCTCCAGATGATCAGGCAGAAGGGCAATGGGAAATAACCCATGAAGTGGATAACCATATCCATATAGTTCTCCTGTGGAAAATCCTGCCCCTGTGGAAATCACTATGGGAATTTAAGGTGTTCCAACAACGACATGTTGATGCCCAACAGAACAGCCTTCCAAGATGGGAAGGTGTCTGGAAGCAGTGAGTGGACTTCCGGGTGTGCTTCCTTGAGGTGACTACTTGGATCCATGAAATGAGCGGATACGTGAGCTTCAGCAACACAGAATCAGGCTAACTCTAGACATACTCATCTTGCACCTTCTGAGGCACAAAATGCCAACAAGAACCATCCTGTCTGCCAATCAGAGAGAGAAAAAACCAGAGAGAAATACTGTAAATGGTCCAGAGGCAGATTCCCCAAGGAGAGGGCTCTACACAGTGTAGTAGCTCTTGGTGGACTATAAAGGAATCTTGACTCAGACCAGGCTTGCGTGACTGGTGGAGTTGCCAAGTGCCCAAGACAGTCTTGAATGACTGGAACAAAGGGTTACTGTGCCAGCTGGGGCTGCCAGGTTACTTTACTTCAGGCCAAGAAGCAAACCTCATAGCCATTGGTGTCAGCGTTGGTCAAGAGATTCCACACCAAATGGACAGATCACCTGCGTGTCATCCTCAAGGCTTCATGGAGAATTTTAATGAGTAACTGAAGCATTTGTTGACTAAAACGGGAGATGAAATAATGAAGGGCTTCCTTCCTTGATTTCATGAGGGTAAGCTCACACTCAACATGAAGTGACACAAGCTATGCAACCTCTGTCGTCAGACACAGTCTGGATGGAGGGGAATTGCTCTGAAAAATCAGACTTTCCACACTAACTTATGTTATGACCTTCCTTGTTGTATAATCATAATATCAAAATGTTCTGAGCAACTTTCAGCTTACAATTGGCTGCCTCAGCCATATAAGGCCTGCCTTCCCTGACAAGCAAGCACTGCACCAGGGTGAAAAAATTCCCCTGAAGTCAAGTGACTTGACTACTGACTGATAAATAAAAGCAAAAGGGCTGTTTTTGCAAAGTCTCTCTCACTGCCAAATGGAGGAAAACCCAAATCTTATCATTCTATTATCTCACCTAGCCTTCTATTCAGCTTCTGAAGAATAACTCAAACTTCCTATTTTTTGGCCTTTAGATGTGGAAATTCATCCAGGTTGCCTATTTTTAAACTAGTCAAGTATTCTACCTGCTACATCTTAAAGGAGTCCACAAAAGTCTTCCACTAGTCTTTCAGGATTCTACTATGTAGTTTTTAGATAAAGAAATTCACCTATGTCTCCTATTCAGAGATTTGATTAGCAAGGAATTTCCTCTTCTGTCTCCCAGGATGACTCAGGCAGAAAAACAAAAACCCATTAAGTAGTAGATAAGGTTTAAGGGACTTCTATCTTAGTTGATCTCCACTATAGTAATATTAGTCATAAACTTTTTGCACTTATGTACCTGTTTTTTTTTTTTAAAAAGATTTATTTATTTGTACATACAGAACTGGGGTACAGGCCAGAGGCTCAGGGGCGGTGAGAGGCTTCACCAGAGACAGAGTGGGGAGCAGAACAGGCAGATCGACGAAGTACACTGCTGAGGGGAGCAGCGGGCCGGTCAGGAGAGGTCTGCCGCGCCATGTGGTCACCTCTTGGGCAGGCGGGAATCGAACTCATGCGGAAGTGGCTTTTTAGCTTCTCAGTGCTGTGCTTTAACCCGCTGCGCCACCAGGGAGGGCCCTATGTACCTGTTTTTAACCTTAATTGATTTTGGAATGTTATATCTCAGCTAAAGGGCAATACGACCCTAAACTGTTCTTAGAAAAAAAAGATGATTGTAATCTCTCAGCCCAGTTCCTGTGCTGATGTCATCCCACTGCTTGCTCCTAATGTATAAAATAAACCTCTGCTGAAGGCAGAGCAGGAAGACTTGCACCCAACTCCAACTCCCGTGTCTTCGTCGCCCCCCTTTCCCCTTTTTCTCCTTCTCCCCTTTTTAGGAATCTCTGCTCCCCGACGCCTTCCCACCTTAGGGTCCTGCCTGTCTTGCCTCCAGACACCTCAATAGTTGGAGCTGGTCTCCGACAATGAAGGGCTCAGATTCTGGGCAGCTGGAAACAGAAGGATTTTATCCTTACCTGGACCATTATTCAACCATAAAAGGGAATGAAGTACTGAAGTACTACAGCATAGGTGGACCTTGTAATATTCCAGTTGCCAAAAGATCGTATATTATATTATTCCACTTATATGAAACATTCAGAATTGGAAAATCTATAGAGATATGAAATAGATTAGTGGTTGCATAGGGGTTGGGGCTTGGAGGAGGGTGTAAGATTGGGGAGGTGACAGTTGAGGGATCAAGTTTCTTAATAAAGTGGTAGAGGGTCTCCCTGGTGGTGTAAAGTGTTAAATCTCAGCACTATGAAACTATCAGCAGCCACAGCATAAGTTTGATCCCCAGCCAAGTAGGTGACCCACATGGCCCAGGAGACCTCTCCTTTCTCACCCTGCTCCCCTCAGCAATGTATTTCAGTAGTTCTGTCTGTTTTGCTCCCCACTCTGTCTCTGGTGAATCCTCTCTCCCCCCCACACCTCTAGCCTACCCCCCAGTTCTGGTGAATCCTCTCTCCCCCCCCGAAATGTATATTTTAATAAATTATATCTCAATAAAGCTTGTTATTTTTGTTTTTTTTTATTTTAAAGCCTGGTTATCTTTTATAGATATATACGAAAAGAGCTATCGATTAAATAATTAGATATCTGGGATTTGCTTCAAAAGATTCCACTGGGGGGGGGGTGGGAAGGGGAACAGAAGAAGCAAGAGTGGCCACAAATTGGTAATTTCTGAAGTTGGGTGCCTGGAAGTTCATTATACACCCTTCTCCGCCATAGTGAATGTGTTTAACATCTTTCATAACAGGAGAAGTAAAGAAAAATCCCATGCAGTGTTCTAAGTCACTCAGGAAGAGGGGACTGTCACCAACTTTGATGAGTGATTATTTAGAGGTCCCGCCCAGAGTGCTCAGATCAGGGAGATGAATTATTGAGGGGAACCTGAGAGGCACAGAGGCCATGGCGTGTGGACAGGGCAGCTCAGCCCCCTCATCCCTCACTCACAACCAACAGGCCAGGCTGACTGTGGTGGTAGAAGTGGAGCCAGGCAGAGGGCCAGGTAAGAAGCCCACACACCTCTTTCTCAGAGGGAGTGCAGCCTGGGGGCAGCTTGGAGAGGAGGTGGGCTTGACCATCTCAGGTGAGAAACAGCCAGACTGAGGGCGGGACACAGGAGTCCTGGGAGTCGTTTCCCTCGTGAGGGTTGTCATGAAGCCTCCTTTCTCAGTCCCGGAGGAGACCTGTCGCGCTGTACTCCTGGAGGGGGACCAGAACATCTGCCTGTTCCAGCCAGGGAAACTGGAGGATCAGGTAGCGATTGGAGAGGTGTGGGTGGGGGCAGAAAAAGCCAGATGGAAGCTGACCCCAGCCCTGCTCACAGGAACGAAGCCTTGCCTTTGACAGAGTACTGGGTGTTGATGCTGCTCAGGTAGGGGGTTCTGCTGTGCAATGTAGGAGGATGGGAGCCCTCAGTTCCTGAATCCTGAGGGGGCTGGGGGGCGGTGCCTCCTGATCCTTTTGCTCAAGGCAGGCTGGCTTAGGGCACCCAGAACAGGGGGATATGCCGGTGTCTCCCCACAGGAGGCAGAGCGGGAGCTGCTAGCAGGAGTCCAGCCCATACTGGGCTCTGTGGGCCGAGGGTACAGTGTGTCCCTGCTGCTTCGGGGTCGGGAAAGAGAGGCACCCTGGCTTGTGCCTCAGGTAAGGCCAAGAAGAGCCAACAGACCTAAGGCTCTGGAGACTCAGCTGTTGCCTCTTCCCGGAGACCTTCGAGAACCTTCCCTCCCATTCTAGCCGGACTAGGTGTTCCTTCTTGGGACTCCGAGAGTCCCTGGGATGGTTTGTCAGGGTCAGAGGAGGGGGTGTGCAAAGATCAAATATCCAGGGAGCTCTAATACTTTGTAATACCAATAATGCTTTGTAATACCAATAATGGTAACAAATTCAAAAGCTTTGCTTTGGGGGGCTCCAGCAAAGTGTTCCCAAATCAAGCCTGCTAGCTCAGAACCTTGCCATGGGCCCCTCCCATAGCTAACAGCAAGTCCCACAAAAAATGCCTGCTCATTTGGCTGGCTTACCATGGACCAGGAGGACGGGGGCTGCTCCTGTCCTGGAGGCCATGTCCGAGCACTAGCACAGGGCCCGACACGCACCGACACAGACATCACCGGGCACAGAAGTCACCAGACACAGATGTCATCCAGGCACAGGCGGCACCCTCAGGAAGTGTTGAAAGACAGATCCATCCTTTCTCAATCCTCGCTGACTTCCTTTCTCCCCCGTAGCTGCTGCAGATGCTGTTTGAGGAAGCCCTGCCCCTCAGGAACTCTGATCCTGTGCTCAGTACCCTTAGCCTGGTGCAGGTGAGACCGGGGGCTGGGAGAGTCAAGGTCACAGTGACACTACAGAAAGAGCCTGAGGCCTGTGGGGAGCCCTCAGAGCCTGGGTCTAGCCCCACGTGGCTGCTCACCTCTCTGGTCTTGCCTCTCTGGTATCTCCTTTCACCTGCTGGAAATGGCTGGATTTTGGTGCCCTATATGCCCACAGGGCCCCAGCAGAGGCTCCCGGGAGGCAGAGATGGGGAGAGGCTTCTGTGTAACAGACACTGTATGTATGATCCCAGCTCACCCACAGTGGGAAGACTCAGGACCTGCTTTCCCCGGGAGCAGAGAACCTGTCGGTGCTGAATATAGCTCCTCTGGGCTTGTGAGTTTCCGGGGCCCTGTGGGGTATGAGGATGTTCATCTGAGGGAGGGTTGATACCCCTAAGCCAAGCCCTTGGAGGTTACTCCCCACTGCCACCTAGAGGAGGGAAGCTTTGAGCTTGGGGTCAGGCTTACGGGGTCAGGACCCCGTCCACTTACCCTTCTTCATCATGGGTGTTGCTAAGTATCTCGCTGAGCACAACTTCTGTTTCTCTGTCTATAAAATGGGCACAATCCCAGCTACTCTATTTCCCTTGTTGGGCAGTTGACTGGAATAAAAACAAGATCCTGGAGATGAGAAGCTTTCAGGGGTTATACTGAGTTTGGGGGTGATTCCCATAGGCTCTTGGGGCCCCATGAGTTTCCCCAAGCTGTGGTTCTGGGATCTTGACAGAACCCAGGCATTTGGTTGGTGGCTCAGCATCCTTTTCCTCCAGGGTGGTGGAAGGAGCCAGCGAAGTGGAGGTGCCAGACTCAAGAGCCGCCTCAGACCTGTACTTGCAAGCTGCAGCGGGTGTGGGCAGGTGAGGACAGGAGGTTCCTGTGCTCCTCCCTCTGCCCCCTGCATGTGGCCTGAGCCTCCTGTCTCCTTCACAGGGGCTGTTCTCTGCTCATTCTCACCATATCCTGCCCAGGACCTGTGCCCCCTCAGGGGCCTGGGACCCAGGGCACCTGGCGAGGGGTCTTGCGTATCCTGCAACTCCCAGGAGCCCTGTAAGTCTTGGAAGTGAGGGGTGGTGCTAAAATGTTGATATAGATTTTTAGTCTATAGATATAGAGCCCTCCCCGACCCTCTCCTCCCCACTTTCCCTCTCTCTCTCTGTTTCTCTCTCTTCTCTCCTGTGACAGGGAGGGCACTTCAGAGAGCACAGGCTAAAATCCTTTGTTGGCAGATGATATGGTCCAAGGCAACCAGGTAGAGAATTAGTGGACCTAATTAAACATACATATATCTAGTCACTGTATATATATATATATACATATATATATATATATACATATATATATATATATACATATATATATATATACATACATACATATATATATTTAAGATTTACTTATTTGTGCATTCAGAACTGAGGTACAGGCCAGAGGTGCAGGGGCAGTGAGAGGCTTCACAGAGACAGAGTGGGGAGCAGAACAGGCAGATCTATGAAGTACACTGTTGAGGGGAGCAGCTGGCAGGTCAGGAGAGGTCTGCTGCACCATGGGGATCAAACTTGCACTGAAGCTGTAGCTTACTTGCAATGCTGGGCTTTAACTCGTTGTACCACCAGGGCCACCAGTCACTGTTTTAAGGGCATATGGGTTGTGGTGGGAATGGGAGTAGTTATACAAATAGTGTTTTCAAGTATCTTTATGTGATTTATCCTTTTTCTATTATTTTTATTTTCCTTCTCAAATTCACCTCAACCACTTATATTTCTTCTATTTCATCAGACTAAAAACTTAGAAAGACCCTAAATGTCCTAAACCATGATTATAAAATTCCCAAGTAACCATATCTTCACACCTGTCTTTATACCCTTTATTTAGTACCCAAAAGTTATTCAACTTGAATTGGTGGTAGAAATGCATCATTTCAAACCAACTTGAAAAATCTGTAAAAGCATGGAAACAGCCAAATTCAAATGTGTTTGAAAGGCAGTAAAAGGAAAAAGTGGGTCCTCCTGGTGGTCTAGGGGTTCAGTCTCAGTGCCGCTGCCTTGCCACCTCTATGGTCCCCCAGCCCTCCAAGGGAGGTGACCCCCATGGCCCAGCAGAATTCTCCTGACGTGTCTGCTGCTCCCCTCAGCAGTGTATTTCAGTAGATTCGCCTGTTCTGCTCCCCACTTTGTCTCTGGTGAATCCTCTCACCTTTCCCCCACCGCCCCACACCTCTGGCCTATACCTAGTTCTTCTATGTAAAATAAAGAAATAAATAAAAATCTTGCAAGAAAAGAATAACTATTTTTTTTAAAAAAGTACCATAAATTCCAGACTATCCCCCAAATTTTCTGTTATTGTGTGAAATTTTAAAAATAATGACTTTATTGAAATATAAACTTATATTCATTCTTTTGCATGGAAATATCCAATTATGACATCATTTGCTTAAGAGATTATTCTTTTCTCCACCAAATGGCCATGACACCCTTGTCAAAAGCAGCTGACTACAAATACAGTCTATTTGACCATATATGGATTTATTTCAGGACTCTTGATTCTAGTCCATTGAGGTATATATGCCTTTTCTCATCTTGTAGAATTTCCCTTTTCCCCTACTTATACATATGTATATATGTATATATATATATATATATGTGTGTGTGTGTGTGTGTATAAATAAATCTTTTATATATACTATATATATATATATATATGCAAGAACTGGGGTGTAGGCCAGAGGTGTGGGGGATGAGAGGATTCACCAGAGACAGAGTGGGGAGCAGAACAGACAGATGTACTGAAACACACTGCTGAGGGGAGCAGCAGGCAAGACAGGAGAGGTCTGCTGCGCCATGGGGGTCAGCTCCCTGGTGGGATAGTGGCTGCAGATAGCTTCGTAGTGTGGAGACCTAACCCCTTGCACCACCATGGAGGTCCTAATCTCTGCTTTTTATTTGGAATATTGAATTCATTACACTTAAATTTGTTACTAATAAGGGATGACTCAGTCCTGTCATTTTGCTATTTGTTTTCAGTAAGGCTTATATCTTTTGTGTTCTTTGATACCATCAATATTGCTTTGTTTTGTGTTTAGTTGACTTTTTGGATAGTGTTGCTAGGACTGAATGTAATGTTGCTATAGACTGAGTGTTCCCATAGTCATATGTTGAAACAAATATCTCCAAAGTGATTGTACTTAGATGTGGGATTTTAGGAAGTGATTAGATCACAAAGTGGAGCTCTCATGTGCGTTATATTAGTGCCCTCAGGAAAGGAACCTCAGCGAATTCTGCAACCCTTTGTAATGTGGGTTCATTGAAAGTCATCTCTGAACCAAGAAGTACATCCTCATCAGGCACTGAATCTACTGATGTTTTAATCTTGGACTTTCCAGTCTCTAGAATGAGAAACAAATGCCTGTTATTTATAGAACCCTAGATGAACTAATACAATTCATATTTTTCTCATTAAGTTTTTCACATATTTTAAAGTTATTCTTAGTGGTTACCTTAAAAATTCAACTTCTAAGAATCCAATTTTAATTAATACCAATATAGTTTCAATAGTATATAAGCATTCCACTGCTTTATGTCTCTACCCCACCCCTTAGTGTCACAAATTACATCTTTATGCATTATCATAGATTTATTATCATAGGTTTATAATCCATTATCTATATTATTTATTTTATGCATTTGTCTTTTAAATTATATAGGCAAAAGGGCCTTCTGGTGGCACAGGGGTTAAAGTCTCAGCGCTATCAAGCTATCACCAGTCACTGCAGCATAAGTTCGATCCTTGGCCAGGGAGCTGACCCACATGGCACAGCAGACCTCTCCTGTCTTGCCCGCTGCTCCCCTCAGCAATGCGTTTCAGTCTCTGTCTCTGATGAATCAGCTCACACCCCCACACCTCTAGCCTGCAACCCAGTTCTTAGATGCATAAATAAAATAAATCTTAAAGAAACAAAATTTTTAAAAAATTTATTTATTTATGCTTATAGAACTGGGTACAGGCCAGAGGTGTGGTAGGTGAGAGGATTCACCAGAGACAAAGTGGGGAGCAGAACAGGCAGATGTACTGAAATACACTGCTGGCAAGAGCAGCGGGCAGGTCAAGAGAGGTCTGCCATGCCATGTGGGTCAGCTCCCTAGTGGGGGATCGAACTAGTGCTGCAGTGGCTTAAGAGAGCTTCATAATGCGGTGCTTTAATCCATTGAGCCACCAGGGAGAATCCAAAAGAAATAAATTATACAGGTAAAAGAGGAGTTCAATTATATTGGCTTTTATATTTATATGCACAGTTACCTTTCCTGATATTCCTTGTTTTTGTATATGACTTTGATTTACTATGTAACGTCCTTTTACTTCAGGCTGAAAGAATTCCTTTAGTATTTCTTATAAGATAGAACTAGCAACAAACTCCTTCAGTTTTGGTTTAACTGGAAATATTACTATAGTTTCTCCTTCATGTTAGGAAAGCTTTACCAGATAGAGGACTCTTAGTATATTTATCTCTTAGCACTTTTTTAAAAAAATACTTACTAAACATAATTTTATTTATTATTATTTTTAGTATCTACTGAAATACACTGCTGAGAGGAGTAGTTTGGGAGTCTGGAGAGGCTTGGAGTGCCCTGTGGGTCAGCAGGCCATGGGTGGTGATGGAACTCTGGCCAGTGAGGTGGTAACACTGAGATTTAACCCCTAAGCCACCAGGGAGGGCCTTTTTTTTTTTTTTAACCACTTTATGTCATTTCAATGCCTTCTTGCCTTTATAGTTTCTTTTTTTTTTTTTTTTAAAGATTTATTTATTTATTCATACAGAACTGGGGTACAGGCCAGAGATG